AGCTTGGGGCTCTGTCTCAAAAAAAAAAAAAAAAATCTTGTGCTGGTGGCACCTATGGTTCAAAAGGATAGGGCACCGGTCCCATATGCCGGAGGTGGCAGGTTCAAACCCCACCCCAGCCAAAAAAAAAAGAAACAAAAAAACTGCAAAAAAAAAAAATCCTCTGTGCTCAGCCTATTCAATTCTCCTTCCCCTGGACCCCTTAGCAACCACTGCTCTTTTACTGTCTCTATAGTTTTGCCTTTTCCAGAATGTCACACACTTGGAATCATACAGACTGGCATCTTTCACTTACTAATATGCACCTAAGTCTCCTCCGTGTCTTTTCGTGGCTTGATAGTTCATTTCTTTTTTGATCTGAAAAATATTTCATTGTCTGGATGAACCACACATTTTCTCCACTCACCTACTGAGTGAAACACCTTGGTCGCTTCCAGGTTTTGGCGATTATAAAGAAAGTTGCGGTAGACATTGTGCACGGGTTTGTCTATGGCCATAGATTTCCAAGTCTGTGGGGGAAATACCAAGGAGCGTGATTGCTAGATTGTGACTGTATGTCAAGAGTTTCTTATATGAGTTTTATAAGAAACCTCCGAATTGTTTTCCAGTGTGTCTGTACTAGCTTGTATTCCCACCAGCAATGAATGAGAGTTTCTGTTGCACCATATCCTCCTTAGCATTTGGTGTGGTCAGTGTTCTTGATTTTGGCCATTCTGATAGTTATGGGAAGTTACCTCATTGTTGTTTTAACTTCTGTTTCTCTGATGACATATGATGGGGAGCATCTTTTCATAGGCTTTTATCCACCTGTATATTCTCTATGAGAGGTGCCTGTTAAGGCTTTGGACCATTTTAAAATCAGATTGTACTTTTATTATTGAGTTTTAAGAGTTCTTTGTATATTTTGGATATTATCTGACATATCTTTTGCAAATATTTTCTCCCTGTCTGTACCTAATCTTTTCATTCTCTTGACACTGTCTTTTGCAAATCAGAAGTTTTATTTATTTATTTTTAAAATAGTAAGACTTTATTCACAGGGAGCCACAGAGATAGGGAGAGGGACCACTGCAATGGGTTCTTGCAGCAGGGGAGACAGGTCGTATTCAACTCTCAAAAGTTTTAAATTTTTTTTTTTTGAGACAGAGCCTCAAGCTATACCCCTGGGGAGAGTGCCGTGGCACCACAGCTCACAGCAACCTCCAACTCCTGGGCTCAAGCGAGTCTCCTGCCTCAGCCTCCCAAGTAGCTGGGACCACAGGCGCCCGCCACAACGCCTGGCTATTTTTGTTTGGTTGCAGCTGTCGTTGTTTGGCGGGTCCGGGCTGGATTCCAACCCGCCACCTTAGGTGTATGTGGCTGGCGCCTTAGCCACTTGAGCCACAGGCGCCGTGCCAAAAGTTTTAAATTTTAACAAAGTTGGGCTTGTCAGTTATTTCTTTTATGGATAGTGACTTTAGTGTTGCATCTAAAAAGTCATCACTATACCCAAGGTCATGTGGATGTCCAATTGTTCCAGAATCATTTGTTGAAAAGACTATTTTTGGTCCATTTTATTGACTTTGCTCATTTTTTTTCAAAGATCAGTTGATGTATGTGGGCCTATTTCTGGGCACTCTATTCTGTTCCATTGATCCATTTGTCTGTTCTTTTGCCAGTACCACACTGTCTTGATTACTGTAGCTTTACAATAAGTCTTGAAGTTGGATAGTGTCAGTCTTCCAACTCTGTTCTTCTCCTTCAATATTAAACTGGTTATTCTGGGTCTTTTTCCTCTCCAAGCAAACTTTAGAATCAGTTTGTCAATATTGACAAAATAACTAGCCGAGATTTTGATTGCAATTACTTTGAATCTACAGATCAAGTGGGAAAGAACCAACATCTTGACTCTTCTTATTCATGGACCACTTATTTAGTTCTTTTTTGATGTCCTTTATTAGAGTTTTATAGTTTTCCTTGTATAACTCTTACACATATTTAGATTTATATGTATTTCATTATTTTTTGTGTTCATGTAAATGGTATTGAGTTTTAAATTTCTTTTCTTTTTTTTTTTTTTTTTTGGTAACAGAGTCTCATTTTATCACCCTCTGTAGAGTGCTGCTGCACTCTGTAGAGTGCTCACAGCTCACAGCAACCTCAAACTCTTGGGCTTAGGTGATTCCCTTGCTTCAGTCTCTCAAGTAGCTGGGGCTACTGGCGCCTGCCACAATGCCCAGCTACTTTTTGTTATTGTTTAGCAGGCCTTGGCTGAGTTTGAACCCACCAGCCCCAGTATATGTGGCCAGCACCCTAACCACTGAGCTATGGGTGCTGAGCCTTAAATTTCAAACTGTACTTGTCCATTGTTGGTATATGGGACAGCTATTGACTTTTTTGTACAACCGTGCTGTAATCACTTAGTTCTAGGAGTTGTAAGGTATTCATTCTACCCACGGTATACTTTCTCCTATCAAACTTGACCTAATTCCAGCAATGCTAGCACCATTTCCCAATCTCAATCTTGTGTGTTGCTAAATTTGTATCAAAATTTTCTCTTTTACCCTCTAAGGTATTCTGAAGACAACATGACGGTCACGGTGGTGTATGATAACTCAGAGGCAACAGAGCTCTGTGCAGCTCAGCACCTTTACCTCAAGCCCATAGCAAAACTGATGATCAATGTTTTGCTACCAGAGAGTCTTGAACCTGTGAGGCCCTTCTCTAACTGGGAGGTTCTTGATCAGCTGAAGAGCTTGATTTGCCCAGACCAGTTCACCACAGTTCGGCTCTCCAAGAGTACAAAGGACTTTATCCGATTTGAAGGTGAGGCTGAAAACCGAAGTTTGGTTCAGATCCTGAAGGCGAAATTACATGGGAAGATCATCAAGCTAAATGGCTTGAAAACAGACTTAAAAGTAGTGGTCACAGATGCCCAGGGAGAGTGGGAACACTTCCCCAAGGACAAAGAGGCCTTGTTGATTGATGAGGCAGAAGAGCAAAACCACGATAAAAGCCCAGATTCTATATATTTTGAAGGCTTACCCTGCAAATGGTTTGCACCTAAAGGTTCCAGTGGGGAGAAGCCGTGTGAAGAAATCCTTCGGGTTGTTTTTGAAAGTTTTGGGAAGATCAAGAATGTGGATATCCCTATGCTTGACCCCTACAGAGAAGTGATGACGGGTGGGAGCTTTGGGGGCTTTAACTTTGGTTTGCAGACTTTTGAGGCCTTCATACAGTACCAGGAGTCAACTGATTTTGTAAAAGCCATGGAGTCCCTTCGAGGAATGAAACTGATGCTTAAAGGAGATGATGGGAAAGCTCTAGCATGTAACATTAAGGTAAGTAGCCAGAGTTTCGTTCATTTTCCACTGTTCAGGTGGTCCTAAATAAAAGCTGGAAGGAAGCATTTAGAATAAATTTCCTTAGCCCCTAAAAGGCTCTGATCAATTGCTAGCATAAAAGACTGTGTTGTCTTTAATAAAATGATGTTTAGGAAGAAAAAGAATCCTGGTTTGAACACTCTATTCTTACACTATCAGGCATCCTGCCAGCTGTGATTTTAAAGTGATGGTTGTTATAAACTGGGGCTCTGTCTCAACTTCTTGAGGGCATTAAAAGAATTCATTGTGACCCCCTGTGGAATTACCTTATATGCTTATTATATTTGACAAGTTCCTGAGAGAGAGAGGAATCCACACAGTTTGAAAGCACACAGAGAGCACTTTTTCCCCTCTTTACTCCTGGGGTCACAACTTACCTTTTCAGGATGCCTGTCAGGTAAGTTGCTAAAACTTAATCCTAAGAAACTTGGATCCTTTTCTTCCTAAGTCAGCCTGTCTATCCAGTCATGTTGCTTCACTGGTGTCTGCAGGCTTTGGTCATCTCCTTTTTGAAGTTTTAACCCAGCAGTGGAAAAGATGTGACTAAACCCTCCTTCGTCTTGACATCAGTCTTTAGCATGAGTTTGGCCTTCCAGCTTCCAGTGTATAAGTGTGTGTGTGTGCGTGTGCGCACGTGCACAGGTACATGCCCGTATGTATTTGTGTGTGGCTACTTACATTAAAAGGAATATCTATATATATATATTTATTTATTTTTATTGTTATCTGGCGCAAATGCCTTTTATTTTTTAATTTCAGATTGAGGGTACAAATGATTCAGTTACAATGTCTGCATTTTTTTTTCTTTGAGACAGAACCTCAAGCTGTCCCCCAGGTAGAGTGCTGTGGCATCACAGCTCACAGCAACCTCCAACTCCTGGACTCAAGCGAGTCTCCTGCCTCAGCCTCTCAAGTAGCTGGGACCACAGGTGCCCGCCACAACACCTGGCTATTTTTTGGTTGCAACCGTCATTGTTGTTTGGTGGCCCAGGCTAGACTCGAACCCTCTACCTTAGGTGTATGTGGCTGGCGCCTTAGTCACTTGAGCCACAGGCACTGAGCCCAGTGTCTGCGTTTGTTGGCTAAAGTCCCTGTTTGTAGTTGTGTCCTGCACCCAGGAGGTGTGCCGTATACGCTTACATTGTGCCCATTAGGTGGGAACACACCAAAAATGAGTATATTTAAATCATATGCTATTCATTCAGACAAAAGATATAGCAAATGCTATAATGACCACCCACACAGCACTACTCAACGTAAAAATAAAACATGACTGGTAAATGAGAGCCCACTCTGCCTGCATGTGCTTATCCTTGGTCACATTACCCTCTCTCCTCTCAAAGCTAACCATGATCATGAATTTGTTTAGCGTTCTTAGATGTACGCAAATAGCTTCTTCGGCCTCCTTTTATTTTTTTAAGCTCATCAATTTTGTAGTGACGCCATCTGACTTTCGCATTATGTCAAGATTTGAAAAATACTCTAATAAATCACAAGAGTCGGGCATTATATCTCCCGAGGTCAGTTTTCTTGCATCTCTGCTTCCTCCTTCCCCCATACACATTTTCTGACTATTTTTATCTCTGGTGACTAAAAAAAAAATCAACTCAGTTGATCTTTATAACAAAGCGAAGGTAATATAGTCACATCCCTTAGCCTGTGCCTATAATGGCACTGCGATGCTGTCGATGACTATATGTAAACCCCTCAAAGTTTTTTTTTTTTTTTAAATAGCTCTATTGAAGTATGATTGATAAACAAAGTTGTATAAAGTTAAGGTGAGGACTTGATATACTTATTCAAGGGTTCTGCCATAGAAGAATCCTGGAGCCTACAGTATTATTCTGTCAGCAGCTGAGAGGCAGTGACACAGCAGGGCTACTGGGATGCAGAGAGGACATTTAGAATTCATTTGGTTTTGAATTGCCTCGCATCATCTTAGTTTTCTCTGTCTGGCCTTGGGACACGCCCAGGTGGCTAGAAAACTTTTCTAATGAAACTTTGAATTGTTTTGGGGCAGGTGATGTTTGATACAACCAAACACTTCAGTGAAGGAGCTATAAGGAAAAGAAATCAGGAGAGGCTAAAATTGCAAGAGCTGGAGGAAGAAAGAAAAAAGGAAAAGAAAAGAGAAGAGGAAGTGGCTGAAAGGTGTGTAGAACAACTTCAGCGAAGAAGGTTCTTTTTCTTTTGACTTATGGATTAATCTCTTTGGGTGAAGGGCTAGACTTGATAGATAACATTGAGGTGGGGGGCGCCAAGAATTGGCACAGATTGAAAAGCTCCACCGAAGTCTATAGTCTTTTGACTGTGCTGTTACAAAATCAAAATGACAAACAGTTGAAAACCAGAGACTTCAAAAATTATGTCTGTCTAGCTGGGCATGGTGGTGTACACGTACAGTTTCAGCTACTCAGGAAACTGAGCTGGGGGAATCACTTGAGCCCAGGAGTTTAAAGCAGCGGTGAGCTATGATCGTGCCACTGTGCTCTAGCCTGGGTGACAGAGGGAGACCATAAAATATATTTGTCAGGGAGAATGAATAATGAGGAATAATGGGACTAAAGACATTTAGATATCTGGAAAGAAATGATTTTTTTTTTTTTTTAAAGAAAAAGGACCAGGAACTTTTATAATGAAAACCCTAGCCTGCCAAATTAAAAATTTTACCAATTTACCTAAAATGTACCAATATTACTTGGCCTACCAATTTAACATTTAAAAAAATTAGATCTGGAAAAGAGTTTCTTCTTCTATAAAATAGTCAATAATCAAACTAACCCTTAGGCAAGAAGGCGTGGCTTTGTTGGGATCATTTGTCTTGCTCACTTAAAGTACGTGTGATTCTAAGGGGCCTCTATATTTATTTTTGAGCTTATCATTGTCTCCCAATTTAAAGTTTTGGGCCTAGAAGGGGCTCTTGGATTGCCAAAGGTCTGCCAACCTGGCCTACAGATGGGCCAAAACTATAGGGCTCTGAAAACCAATTTTATATTTTGGCCCCTCCTCATGCTTATTTATTCTTCCCATCTTTCATGTAAATTGTAGCCTTTCAAAAAAGGAGATAAAGAGTACCTGTCCATGTGTCCCTCACTTTTTTGGCTGGTAGGGTGATAGGAGTTACTTGAGGCTCTACATTATCTGTGAAATTTGGCCAGAGCTTGAGCCCAGTAAAGAAATCGTTCCCCTCAAAATTCTAGCTGAACATCCAATTAAGATCGTCTGGATTTTGGCAAATTTTTTTTTTTTTTGAGACAGGCTCAAGCTGTTGCCTTTGGTAGAGTGCGGTGGTGTCACAGCTCACAGCAACCTCAGACTCTTGGGCTTATGCAATTCTCTTGCTCAAGCCTCCCAAGTAGCTGGGACCACAGGTGCCTGGCACAACGCTTGGCTATTCTGTTGTTACAGTTGTCATTGTTGTTTGGCAGGCCCAGGCTGGGTTCGAACCCTGCCAACCTCTGTGTATGTGGCCAGTGCCCTAAGCACTGAGCTACGGGCACTGCCACTTTTGGCAAATTCTGACTCTGGTAATTGTCTCTTCTTTTTCACTCCCCACATTCCCATATAGGTCTAACTGAAAGTTTTGACTTTTAGAAAATAGCAGGAAACAAATGCCCATATTCTTATAAGCCGGTAAGCTTTTCTGATGATATGCTGTGTTAATATGTGCCAAAGACCAGTTCTCATCTTGAAGATTTTGAGTGCCTTGACTCTTTATTTGCCCATATGAAAACAACTCACAAGAGGTTTTGTTCATAAGCAAAACAGGTCATCTCTGTGAAAGCTGGATCCTGTAGTTTCCTGCCTGTGGTTTGAGAAAGCTAGGGCTAGCGGTCCCGCTTTTGAATTATGTAGGCTTTTTTTTTTTTTTTGATGCTCTATCTCCACGTAAGGTCTCCTTTACATGCTTCTGTTTGGCTGACAAAGTGTCTTTCTCCCTTGACTAATGTTTAACAATGTTGTTTTGTCACAAGTGGTCTATGCTGGTCCCTGGGGTTGTGGTAGATCCCTGGAAACCTAGCTATCTGTCCTCCGCTGGCAGGGGGAAGGAGTGAGGAGGCGATCCAATCAATGCCTAATAAATACTTTCTGAATGGTTTCATCCTAATGATTGAACAGGAGAAGAAAAGATGAGAAGAAAGCCCAGGAAAAGAGGAGGAAGGCCAGGGTCAGAAAGCAAGCCCTGAAGGAAAGGAACAGACACCGGCAGAGGAAACCGAAGAACAAAGCCAAAGCCGAGGAACCACAGGAGCCAGACTCATCAGAGGAATGGGAGGGACGGAAATACCTGCTGGCTCAGAGGCGGGTTGAGGCTCTTCGCTTGCTTCGGGTACTTCTTAGAAAAATTTCAGTAAGGCTCTTTCTCACTTGTTCTTCCATCTCAGTAGGTACTAACCTTTCTGAAACATTACCTCAGGCCTGGTAGGGTAGCTCACGCCTGTAATCCCAGCACTCTGGAAGGCCAGGGCAGGTGGATTGCCTCAGCTCACAGGTTCAAGTCTAGCCTGAGCAAGAGCGAGACCCCATCTCTAGAAGTAGCCAGGCGTTGTGGTGGGCACCTGTAGTCATTCCAGCTACTTTGGGAGGCTGAGGCAGGAGGACCACTTGAGCCCAAGAGTTTGAGGTTGCTGTGAGCTGTGACATCACAGCACTCTACTGAGGGTGACAAAGTGAGACTGTCTCAAAAAAAAATTACCTCCACATTTAAGCAGGGGCCTCTTGAAAATTGACTCCACAGAACACTTGTTTTGTTCATTGGGGTTTTTATAAATAGGCTGATCTCTGTCAACCCAATAGAGGACTTACAATAAGGATATCTATGTGTTCCTTAATCCATAAAGGAATTGTGTCCCAACCCTGCCATCTAATGCGTATACTTTGTGTTTCTAAACTGCAGGATGGTATTCCCCTGAGCAATTTAGCTAGTTTATTTATGTTTCTTTTTTTTTTTTTTTTTTGAGACAGTGTCTCACTATGTCACCCTGGATAGAGTGCTATGGCGACACAGCTCACAGCAACCTCAAACTCTTGGGCTTAAGTGATTCTCTTGCCTTAGCCTCCCAAGTAGCTGGGACTACAGGTGCCCACTACAACACCAGCTATTTTTTGTTGTTGCAGTTGTCATTGTTGTTTTAGCTGACCCACGCTGGGTTCGAACCCGCCAGCCTTGGTGTATGCGCCAGCGCCCTACTCACTGAGCTACCTTATTTACGTTCCTAAGTTCCTAATGGATGTAACAAGACATTGCCAGGGGAAATCAGTGGGTGTTGTGGGTGTTAGGTTTGTAGTCTTCTTTAAACTTTACTTATCCATTCTAAAGGCTTGGACGAGAGGGAAGAGCCTTAACGGGCCTTGTGGCAAGCTCTTGTTACTCTAGTTTTAAAACTATTTGATAAGGAATCTGTCAGCTCATAGAACAATTGTTTTGTTTGTAGAGTTTCAGTTTTGAAAGGTTTTTCTTCTTTGGGAACACCTAAGAATTGACAGACTTAGCAGAAGTCCTGGATTAAAACCCAGAAAGGGCTAGGCACGGTGGCTCATGCCTACAGTCCTAGCACTCTGAGAGGCCAAGGTGGGGAGCTTAGGAATTTGAGACCAGCCTGAGCAAGGGTGAGATCCCACCCATTTCTACTAAAACAAACAAACCCACCCCCCAAAACGAGCTAGATATCTTCCCAGATGCCTGTAGTCCCAGCTAGTCAGGAGGCTGAACCAAGAGGATCACTTGAGCCCAAGAGACTGAGGTTGCTTTGAGCTATGATGAAGCCATAGCACTCTATCCAGGGCGACAGAGTGAGACACTGTCTCCAAAAAAAAAAAAAAAAAAAAGAGAGAGAGAGAGAGACAAAAAACATAATAAATAAAATTCCACATGCACTCTTTTTAAATATGAACACTAAATGCTACTAGGATTAAATAGTTAATTTTATGTATGTTTGCAGTCTTGGCTGCTTTTCTCAGTGTGAATTATCAAACTTAGTGAAATCAGGATTAGAAAAAGCTCCTGGCTCGGCGCCTATAGCTCACCCGGCTAAGGCGCCAGCCACGTACACCTAAGGTGGCGGGTTCGAATCCCCAGCCCGGACCCGCCAAACAACAATGACGGCTGCAACCAAAAAATAGCCGGGCGTTGTGGCGGGCGCCTGTGGTCCCAGCTACTTGGGAGGCTGAGGCATGAGACTCGCTTGAGCCCAGGAGTTGGAGGTTGCTGTGAGCTGTAATGCCATGGCACTCTACCTAGGGGGATAGCTTGAGGCTCTGTCTCAAAAAAAAAAAAAAAAGAAAAAGCTCCTATTTACATTTATGATAAGGCTAACTGGATCTTTTTTTAGTTTACTCTAATGACTGCCGAGGGTGACTCCTTCTAAAGCATTTATCTCTTTCAGTGTGTGTGGTGTCTGAGTCTTGGCACTATTAGTATTTATACTAATTATGCAGTCCCCAAGTTCCGATCCCAGGTAAGGAGCAGGCACTGTGCTCTGGTGTGTGTCAGGTGGCAGTGGGTGCATAGCACAAACCCTCGAGCCATGGGCTGCCCCTTTTACCTGCTCTGTGGTTGTGCAGAGCAGACAGCACCACATAGACGACCACAGAACCATGGTCACAGCCACATGTGCTAACTGTCTTCTTACTGAGTGGGGATAGGGCAGGGCAACCCAGAGACATCCTCACCTGCAATCCATCGGAAGAGGCTGGAAGTTAAATGGAAAGACAGTTTATCTTTTAAGCCTGTTGGCCCTTTTAGGCACATCTCCCTCCCTCTGTCTTTTCTTGTAGTAGGATTTGGGAGAGGGCTATAGAGAGCGTTTCTTCTTCTTCACTGTATCTCCAGCTCCTAGCACAATGCCTGAACATTGACCTTTGAACAAATAATAAAGAATTTGTGCTTTGAAGGCCATTCAGTGTGGTGCCTTCTGACATAGCATGGACACAGACCTAGTGAAAGCAGCTCCTATTAGACTAAAACATTTCATACTGTACCTTCTATTTCTTTACTTCTAATTCCTTATTCTTCCCTGTTTGGGTCTATCCCAGGTATCAGAAGTTTCTTCAGAACAATGTCAGAAAGCCCAACTTTCTTTGGAATTTCTTAATGTTTAGTTTTTCATGTGAAATTTTTAACCTTTTTCTTTCAAGGAACCCACTCAGTCTAGCCCACAGGAGGGCGATGTTACAGGCGCCAAAGTTAATCCTGATCCAGGGAACACATCGGAAACTTTGGAGGAAGGAGAGTTAAGCCCTCAGCATCTTCAAAGTCCAGAGGAAATGCCAAAACCTCAGGATGCCAAGTTAGGCAATAAACGAAAACAAAAAATGAAGAAAAGAATGAGGTCTCGCTTACATAAATCTTCCCAACGCCTTAGGAAAAAGAAATTAAGATATTCAACTAGAAAAGAGAGCACTGGAAAGTTATTAACTGATGATGGATACAACCAAAGTTTGGCTTGTGATCAGAATTCCTCAGAGGCTGCAATGATTCAAGGTCGGTCTCTTGAGAAAGAGGACCACCACAGTCCTAATAAATCCTATTCTTCTCCATTACCTGAGAGAGAAGGTGGAAGGAAACATAAAATCTATGAAACAGATGAATTCATTGACTATCTGCTAAACTATTATGAAACTCCAAGATATGCTCGTATCTACCTAGAACCAAGTCCCATAACAGACGAATGTCAGTGGCAGAGGGATGTCTATGAGAAAGGAAGTGGATTTCAGATTCATTTGAGAAAGCGTGGCCATCACTCAACCAATTTGAGTCAAATGCAAAACCTGGAAGGGAGCGAGGAGGTTCACGAAGATGATTACTGGTCAGAGATTTGTACTCAAGATCCTGAGCATACCCCACAAAAGGGAGGAGAAATGGATGATGACAAAGAATGTACTTACGGATTTGAAAATCATTGCAGGGACACAGCTAGTGAAGCTGGTGATCAGCTGTTGTCCCCAGCTGTTGTCAATAGCCATCTGTTAGAAAAGACTCACACTTACCATGTCGAAGATTTCGCATCCACAGGGAAAAGCCAAGTGTCCTCACCCTACAGGTCAGTATGCTCAGATCTGCAGTTGACAGATTTCTTAGAGGAAATTAGCAGTGATTCTGAATGCTTCAGCGAAACGCTTAGTGTAAACAAAGAGGAGAAAGATGAACCGGTGGCCACGTGTCACGGCTCCCCAGAAAAAGGACCTCTTGACGCTCATGAAATCATCACTTGCGAACAGGCAACTAGGTCAAGTCAGGAGACCGTCTCTCCCGAGGGGAAACATGATGATGAGGAAAACTACTCTAAACACAAGCTTAGGGTACCAGGAAAGAAGGCTAAGTATGAACTCTATGAACTCGAGGGTGAAAGCAACTTCACTAGAGATGAAAAGAACAGCAAAAAGAGGGAAAAACTAGCCCCCACCTACTTGTTCGATGAAGGCTACTACCATGAACACAGTTCCAGTAACCCAATTGAGAACATTACAAGAAAGAAGAGGCGGCTTAGTGGTCATTCATTTGACCAGAAAGTGAACTATAGACCCTCTAGTGTGCCAATGCCATCATTAAAAAGTGCTAATGCTTTCTATCTGTGTGATTTTCCCACCAGCGGAGAGACTTTGTGGCAGTCAGAAGGTAACCAGGAAGTGAGAAAATTTAAAAGGCATGAGAATTCTGAAGATTTCATGCTCAATTCTGACGGTTATTATGTTCGACATGACAGTCAGGAGCATGTGGACTATGGAAGCTATTTAGGAAACAACTACACGGGTTCTTTATGTTTTGACAGCCACTTAGATCAAGAACAAGCTTATTTACAATAAACATGTTGCAAGAAGAAAAGTTAAAACCAAATATAGCCACTGTAGTTAGCAAGTACAGGACAGGAGAGCAGCGTTTAAAAGCCAGAGCGGGGTCAAATACAAAACCTGTTTCTCTTGCCAAAGTTTAAAGAATAGATTGAAATGACTCTAGGTGTGTTGGCAAGCTTTGGAAATAAAAAACATCCCGATGCTGAAGCTTGGTAAAAACACTGCTTGCAAAACTTCGTGATCCAAGGACAGGCCTTTTTACAGTTCAAATGAAACTGAAATTTGATGCCGGGGAAGGAACATCGAGAGAGTTTGAGACAGCCCTCTATGGCTCTTCAGCTGTCATGACATCGCCATTTAGTATCATTTCTCTTCCAAGAGGACAACAGTGAACAAATAAGCAACTTTTTGCCTGTTCTTTGATTTGCTCAGAAACACAATTATGTGGCAACAACCTTTCTTGAGTTTTATTTATAAATAATTACAGGTAAGAGAGATGACACCTAGAATGTATGATAGATTTCTTCATGACATGAAAGAGCCCCCACCAGGAGGAAATTTATATTATTACTATGTTGATAGTACTCAAAGAGTTGTCTTTTTAGAGACAAAGTCTTGGAAAAAGAATCTAAAAGTGGCTCATACTGTCCTTTGAGGTTTGTACGGGGAAGGGACCATTAAGCTGTTTTTTTTTTTCAGAACCCCATGTCTTTCCATTCTAGAAAAGCAGCAGGACTGAAGGGATAAGATAGCAGTGGGATTTGCAAAGGAAATAGTGAATGATCCTGGGGCAGCAAAAATGGCACTTGGGAAGAAAGGACTCGATGGTATTCCATTTTAGGTTATGTAATCCTTTCACTCAGGGTGGGGTGACATCAATTTGTAAAAAGTCACTGAATACTTCCAAACTGACTTTTATAAAACAGTAAAAAGTGCCTCCTCAATCCTCAATAAGGCCATGGTTAAGAAGAGTAGAGGGGAAAGCTTAGTTTTCTAGCTGGGAAAAAAATTGTTGTGTAGGATTTATAAATTCTTAACATAAGCAATTTATCTTTTTACCTACTGGTTTTGGACTTCTTAAAGTGTTTTTAAATTAAGATGTTTTATAGATTCTTAAAAGACTTACATCTTAGTGCAAGTGCATGTTCTATAGAAAGCTCGGCTGATTCATTCTGCCTTACATTGGATTTAGGACCTCAGGGGCAGTAGATTACCTTTAATTTTTCCCCAATAAAGATACACCTGACCTGGCAATTGTAGACATCAACCTTAGAGACTGTGTATAACAGGAAAAGATGGTTTTAATCCGCAGAAGCAGTAGAAAGCAACACTTTCATGACATGATTCATTTCAAACTCTTCATTTGATATTCTGTAGGAAAGTACCAGCTGGTAGAGCCAGGTAGAATGCCAGTCATTGTTGAGTGCCCAGGATGATGTCACACAGATATGTGTTTATTATCAGCCTCTTAGCGAACTGGTACCTGAAGAGGCTACAAAATCTCATTTATCTCAAGTAAGAGCCACAAGTGTATTCACTTATCTCTTCTAACCACATTGTAATAGAGGTATGTTAGTACGTGCAAAAATTCAGAATGAACGTAACACAGTAGATCATTTCTTAAAAAACATGATTTGTTGGCTCTCCTGTGTTCAATTTCACTTTCAAGCCAGTGATACTACCATCAAAACTATGTTTGGCTTGTCAAATCTGAAAACGTGTCGCTCAAAGGGCGAGTGCCTTCTCTCCTAAGGACTAGCAATGACTATTAATGTTCAAAGTACTGTTGTCCAGAGTAGCCTTTTAAACTACTAACAGCTTGTATTTTGTCAGATAACTTTCAACATTTAGGGAATATTCTCCTCCAGTGAAAACCTGACTCATTTTTTCATTTCATGCCATTGAAGCAAAGAACATTATAGATTTGTAATGGAAAGAAGCTAAGCTTGTTTTGAAAAAAAATAATCTTTCTTCTGTCATCTGATAATTTTTCTTTGCGGAGTTTCTAGGCATGGAAACAATTTGCTGATCAGTAATCAGACATAAAGAATAAATTGCAGACTACAGCATGTGCAGTTTTTTTTTGTTTTTTTTTTTTTTGTATCATAGAACTGGTGCTAAGTCATTTCTATATAACAGTTTGGTCTCGTTTGCTAAATACTGTCCTGAGACAAAGTAAAAATACTGGTTTTATGTTTACTTTCTGTATAAGCCTGGAGTTTTGTATGTCTTGTGATAATGCATTCTATGATAGATTTGAGTCAACCTTTTTTGTGTGTTGGCCTTAAGTGAGGAAGAGAACTTCTCCTGTACCTGTCAATTGAAATGGCTTAATAAGGAAATAGAAGTGAAAATATCGTAGCCACCTTCTTAATTAGCATTGTTATTCTTTGTTGTGCTGTTATTTAAGTGGTGCAAAAGTATTTGCTCCTTTTTTCTATGTCTTACTAAGGGCCTGAACTTTAAACTTTGTCCTTTTAAATAGGTGTTTTCATGTTTTTCTTTGTATGTGCTGCTGATGGTGCTGTAAGCAAGCTAAAACTCTGTCAGTGTATTTCTGTTCAATTTGTTTGAATTTCTCAGGTAGAAAGCCATGTAACCAGGTAATTTTGAAAATAAGAACCAAATGGATTTTCATTTGTTGCAAAATTGTTTGAAAAATTAACTTTTAAATAAATGCTGATAACTCCGTGGGGGAGGGCATTCCTACCTATAGTATGCTGCTTTGCACTAATGTTGCTGGTCTTTTTTTCTCATTCGCATTGTTAGAGAAATAATATTTAATTTTTAGATATATTAAAAATAAAATTGTCATAGTGAATCCTGGTCTTTGTTCATTTACCCCATGTATTGCCCAGAATGTTGCACATCCGGGACATTTTCTATAGAAATACAGATGTCTAGGCTGGGTACAGTGGCTCACCCCTGTAGTCCTAGCACTCTGGGAGGCCAAAGCAGGTGGATCGCCTGAGCTCAGGAGTTCCAGACCAGCCTGAGCTGGAGCAAGACCCCGGTCTCTAAAATTAGCCAGGATTGTGGCCAGCACCTGTAGTCCCAGCTACTTGGGAGGCTGAGGCAAGAGGATCACTTGAGCCCAAGAGTTTGAGGTTGCTGTGAGCTGTGACGCCACAGCACTCTACCAACGGTGACAAAATAACTTTGTCTCAAAAAACAAATACAGATGTCTAATTTTAATAGCATTTCTATACATCTTTTCTATTTATGATGTGAGTTTGTGGGAACTGACTGTCAGAGCTCATGGAACTGAGGACTAGAGTGTTATTTTCATTTTGGATAAGCTGAAACCATATTGAGATTTAAAATTATCCTCCCTTTAGCATCTTTTGTCAATGCTAACAAAAGGTAGCAGAATTGACTCCATGGAATCACATTTCATCCCTTTAGCGCTGGATGGAAGTGTTAAAGTTATACAATACCCAAAAATAATCGGGTGGGTGTGGAATGGAGAGTATGGTCAGTGAAGCTAAAGCCCTCAATAATTTTGATCAGTCAAGAGTAGACTACTGTATTTTCACATGAAATATATAGCAAAATTGCCTCCAAGAATTATACGATACAGATCTGGGCACTTTGGAGCTGAAAGGGTCTTTGTTGGGTTCAAAGAGCTGTACAGATGCTTGTTTTGGATCTAGGATTTACATCAATTTGGCCCTCTGAGGTGAATGTTGGATTATGCAGAGAAACCAGATAGGCAGATACTGAAAACACGTGGCAAATGCTGCTTGTGAGCCATAGATGCTAGTATTGAAAACAAAGTCTTTGCAGCTGCTTGGATTACAGCAGGTAGGTAGCGAACAGATGTTAACCTGACACTTCCTCCCCGAACTGGATGTGTGGTAGTTGTAATAACCACCCATCTTGAATGGCACCTTTTATATAATATGGCTTATGTATATTCTAGCTGGATTTGAGAAGTTTTCAGACCAAAGTCCTGCCTTATAGTAATATCCCTTTACATGTAATCAACAGGAGAATCAGGCTATTGGGAGTGAAGCTTTAAGGAGGCTCTGGATGTTTTCCTCTTGGCGTCAGACAAGTCTGTTTAACTTTGTAAAAGGACTAGCCTAATCACATCTAAGGGAGATTTCAGGCTGCAAAGGTGGCTCAACTTCTCTTCTCTCACCACTTCCCCCAAAGCATAAGGTGTAACTGGTTACCTGGAACAAAATAGGCACTGGAATACTTGTTGAATGAAACCTAGTGAAGAGAAAGAACACATTTAAAAGAAAAGCTTTGTAAGAAAAATACAAATACCTGGAATATGGTGTGATAACATGAAAAATAGAAACCTGTGAGCTTTCTTTGGTTCAGGGAGTACATTTCTTAAGAAAACCGCCAATTTCAACATTAAAATTACAAAACATTTTTATATGTCTGACCGCCCATGCAAATCTGCTATCCTTCCATTGACATGAGGTGAATTAATTTTGCTACTATAAGGATTCGTAAGACTTTCCTGATAAGACAATACATTAAAATTAAAACAACAAAATCCTTTCTTAGCATTTGGTAATGACAATGCTTTGGGTAACATTACCCTTTAATAACCTTACTATAGCTTTCAAGGTGGAGGGTCTTGCCTTTTATAGTTTAGAAAGTTCTTACTTAGAGGCAGGATTTGACAAGTCACCAAAACAAACAAACGAACGAACAAACAAAAACAATTCAATTCACTAATTTCTTAGCAGGATGAGCTGGTATTTGGTTTGTGATGTGACATATCTATGAAGTTTTGTACTTTTATTTCTTTCGGAATACAAAAAGATCTACACATAAAAGTAAAACCAAATATTAAGCTAAAGTAAAATGATTGCATCTGATTCCTGAGAATAAAAGTTAAAAAAAAAAATGAAAACAAGCCACCATACTATACTGGGTAAAACCATTTTATTAACTGACCAAAGCACTTCATTTTGTTTTCCGATTTGAGGTAAAACCATTAAACACAGCTCACGAGAAAATACAACGACTAACTACAATTACAAGAATCTGAAACCTCACTAGTAGTTCATATAATACTTTTACAAATTTGTTCAACTGTATAGGCTACTTAAGCTTAGTGTTAACCAAAAGAGCGATATCAAAGACCTAGACAATTGACTACTACTCTCGCAGTGGCTATAGTTTTGGAGCATCATAGTAGCTGTCACCTTATGAATATGCTTTACTTTAAAACCACTTGGCTAGTGCCGCATACTGTTTCCTTACTGCGCAGAGGGTGTGCATGAAGGCTCACAGGAGAGCAAGACACCTGTATGCCCCTCTCAGTTCAAACGTGTCAAATAACCATGGCCCCACCATGAATAAGCAGCTGGCTTTTTCCAACGCTTTCTTTTAAGTGTTCATATCCTATTCTAATCCAAACTGTAGATGACTGTGCTTGTGAGGTGTCTCGGTGTCCATGTGAGAGCAAGGATGACACAGCAGTCCAGAAACCCACTAAGTATGTTTTCCTAACTGAGCCAAGCTATGAGATTTCATTTTGTTACAGGACAGCTCTCTCTAATCAATATCAAAGCCTTTGGGACACTGCAGATTTGCTTTAGAGGTAGATAAAACAGAAATCATGCAGTTAAGTCAATTGGGGGGGGGGACGGGATTTGCTGTCTTGAGAGAACATCATGACTGAACATTGATCCTGTCTTAGTGTACATCTAACATTTTTACCTGTTTCGGGAAATATCCAAGTCTTACTTGTCTCTCAGGCAACACACATTTAATTCAGCCTGTACTAACTACAGACAGAAGAAAAACAGTATTAACATTTGTATTACAGCACTGCAGTTTACCTTCTGGATTTGTGACACACAAACATCTCATGCATTCTAAGACAGAAGTTAATTTTCTCAGTGTCACTAGTGATGTTAATTAAAAAATTACAACAAGTTCAAAACTTTTCTAAATATTGAAATCACCATGTTTTAAAGACAGACTGGAATGTTACAAATGATTCTGCAAAATACAAAAATAGATATGCTTCCACTGAATGCTTTAATCATTTTTCCGAGCTTTCTCATCCTTTGGTTCTTCCTCATCTGAGTACACAGTGGGCTCCTCACCCTCCTTCAGCAGTTTGCCCACGTGATGGTACTTGACTGGAGGTAGAGAAGAAAACACAAATGGTTATTCTCAGGCCTTCTAAAAAAAACCACTACCACATTTCATTTGAAAGTATTAAAGGCCTACAATATACTCAGCAATGTCTTAGGCTTCTTGAAGCATGCAAAGGTGGTTCACACCCTAGTGCTTGTCAAAAGGAAATGAGAGCTTTATTCAGAATACAGAAATATAAAACGTAGCAATGTCTGGCAATGAGTGTGCAATGTAATCTTAAAATAAATTATGGGGCTGGGCATAGTGGCTCATGCTGCCACATTCTGGGAGGCTACAGTTGGGAGGATTGCTTGAAGTCAGGAGTTTAGGACCAGCGTGGGCAACGTAGTGAGACCTCATCTCTACTAAAGGAAAAAAGAAAAGAAAAATTAGCTGGGTATGGTTGTGCATGCTTGTAAGTCCCAGCTACTTAGGGAGGCTGCTGAGGCAGGGGGATCAGTGAGCCCAGGCTGCAGTGAGCTAAGATTGCACCACACATTCCAGACTGAGCAATAGAGCAAGACCTTGTCTCTAAAAACAAACAAAAAGGAATTGTGTTTGCATGTAGACAAATGTTTTGAAGGGCAAGGGCATGTGATGAGTTAGTTAGAAAGGTTGCGGAAGTATAAAAGGTTGTTTATACTTCATGGAAGAATACATTCTGGAAAAATGTATAGAAGGATTTGGGGAGGGGAAGATTTCTGGAAAATGGAAACACCACATGCATATAAGTGAGACTGAACACCTGGGAAGCAATAAAGAAACCAAGTTGGCAGGAGCAGAGTTGGCATCTGGAAGTGGTAGGAGATAAGGTTGGCTAAGTAGTCCGGGGAAATATTATGAAAGCTCCAAAGAGGCAGCCTGAGCAGTTAGGACTTATCTTCTATGTGGCAAAGGGCCCTAGAAGCTTATCAGCAAAGAAATAACAAAGTAAAATTGTGCTTTAGTAACATTATCCATGTGGCGTACAGGGCAGACTTCAGTGAGGACAGATTAGACAAAGGGCAACCAGGAGGCTAGCATGTAGATCCAAATGCAAAGGAACCAGTTAGGAGTGGGGAGGTATCCATGGGAATGAAAAGGGGCGGATATGAGATATTTTGAAAGCAAGATGAAGCATGAGTCAATGAAGTAAAAACTGCAGATTCCATGGACCAAAATGGGGACTCTGGGCTTGGTGCCTGTAGCTCAGTGGCTAGGGTGCTGGCCACATGAACGGGGGCTGGAGGGTTAGAACCTGGCCCGGCCCCCCCCCAAACAATAATGACAACTACAACAACAACAAAAATAAATTAGCATGGCCTTGTGGCAGGTGCCTGTAGTCCCATAGCTACTTACGAGGCTGAGGCAAGACAATCGCTTAAGCCCAAGAATTGGAAGTTGCTGTGAGCTGTGATGCCACAGCACTCTACTAAGGGCAACATAGTGAGACTGTATCAAAAAAAAAAAAAAAAATGGGGACTGTGGAGAGGAAACCACTCTGGAGAATCATATGAGAGGAAATCTGCAACAGGGAAAGGACAAGTGAAGTTGGTGCTGGCAAGGAAAAAAATAGGTTTCCCTGAAACCTTTGAGAGAGAGTTCAATCCAATTATAGGGACAGAAGCCATAGGAAAGGAGGTATAGACAGAAAATGAAGCAGTGGTTGGGGCAACAATGACTTAAAGTTTGACAGTGAAGGGAAGGAATAATAGTCTTCTACAGTGGTTTTCAACCTTCCTAATGCCGCAACCCTTTAATACAGTTCCTATGGGTCGCAACCCACAGGCTGAGAAGCGCTGGTCTAGTGGATAGAGATGACAGCAGGAGACAGAATTTTTCCCCCAGCCTGGAGAAAACCCTATGGGTAGTCAACACAAGGGGTAAGGGTGCCAGCAGACTGGAGACGTTGGAGGAAAAAAGATTTAAGAGTGCAAACCAGAATGCAAAAGATTTGGGACGAGACTGAGTCAGTAAACAACCACATTATTACAGCCAAACTAATGTAGGATCTCAGTGTCAGAAGCCAAGAGGACCAAGTGTCTTCTTTCTGAATATGAGCAGGAACTAGAATAACCAATCTGTCTAACCAGAGCTGCTTTTGTGTGAAATAAAGGTTGGAAAGAATTAGAACTATGCAAGACAAATAAGAGCTGGGTGGCACCTGGGAAACCTGCCTTAAGGGGAAGGCACACCCATGTGGAATGTGTTGAGGTGTCACAACAGTATTCGGGGCTAGCCTTAGTTTAAGGTGGTGAAAATTCACGCTTTTTCAGCTGATGAAGGCCAAGCACTGGAAAACAGAGCTTTGTAAATTATAAATTACAACTCACTGGTTTAATATGCATGCAGAAGAGCCTATGGTTACAAAGGCATCCTCAGGATGCAAAAAATTAGGAACTATGTTAGGTGGCTGAACTATGTTTTTGAAGTATAAAGATTTGCCTCTAGACTTGAAAGCTACGCTTAGTCTGCTTGAGACTCAACTCAAAGGCAGAACATCTGGCTATTTATTAATCTAGAATTTCTTTCTCTCGAGTCAGTATTATTTTTTTTTCCCCCAGTTTTTGGCCGTGGCTGGGTTTGAACCCACCACCTCCAGCATATGGGGCTGGCACCCCACTCCTTGAGCCACAGGTGCCAACCATAAATCCAGCATTATTTTCAAATAAAATGGTTGGATATGGTCAAAAGAGCATGTAATATTTAACTATGTAGAATAACACATAGAAGACTACATTTTACATGAAAAAAAAAATCTTCCTCAAAAAAAATGGTCATTGTCTGGCTTGACGCCTGTGGCTCAAGTGGCTAAGGCTCCAGCCACATACACCTAAGGTGGTGGGTTCAAATCCAGCCTGTGCCCGCCAAACAACAATGATGGCTGCAACCAAAAA